TCCTGACTAGGTCACACCTCCCTACCTTCCTTTCTCTTACAACTCTAAGACTTCTCTTTTGTGGCCCTTAATACAATGCAAGTTAAATTTATTAGCATTTTTGATTAATGGCTATTTCCTCCACTAACTTGTAATCTCCATGAGCACAGGGCTAATGTCTCTTTCTACTCACCTCTGCTGCTATGACCCATCCCAGAGCCTGGCATATTCTAGGTGCTCAGTAAATATTTATCAAATGAATTAAATGAATGAATAAATGAATGAACAAGGTGTTAAAGGGGCCAGATAAATTAGTCAGCTGCACAACTATCTAGGGTGGGTCGTTCCTACCACAGATCGGGGACAGGCTCCACCTTTCCCTTTCTAGCACAGGTGGTGGCAAGGGGAGATGAAAAATAGTGACAGATTAGCTAATGCACCATCCACTAGGGGCTGAGCTACCCTAGGCTTTTTTTTTTCCCCACAGAATCCTCCCCTGGAGGGGAGAAGGCCCATCAGGCAGTGGCAGCAGTAATCCACAGCTGCTGGGAGAGGAAACAAGCTATTCTCCGTCTGATCTGGGGTATCCCTTCCCTGCTGTGGGCATCCACCCCAGCAGGAGCACTGCTCACATGGACGCCATGGTCCCCAAGGGGCCCACCTGCATGTGTGCACCTCCTGAGACAAGACACTAAGAAGCCCTCCTATTCGTATAGCACTTCATGGTCTCCAAAGTTCTTTCCTAATTATTTCCTCTGATGCTTACAATGACCAACCTGTAAGACAGGCAAGTGTTATTGGCCCCATTTTATAGATGAAGAAATGGGGGCTCAGAGCCTTGCTCAAGGTTATGCATGCAGGGAACTTCAAATATGGCATAAACTTCAAGGCCAGAGAATCTCCAATTGTCCACATCATCCACGTGTAAAGGGACTATTTTTTAGTATAAACAACTCAAGGCCTTCTTTTGAGCCCTAAAGATAGCTCTCTCCTTCTTGTCTTTGAACAGAAGGTTACAACATGGTAAACAAAAGAATTCAGGAAAACAAGGTCTTAATTTGAGTTTTATGTTAGTTAAATCGTGTCAGTTTGCAGCCCAGTTTGGACTGACTGAATATATTTGTATTTGTATGGGGAAGGGATGAGAGAGGAAGAGAATGAGAGAAATACTTTGATTTTAATTGCAGTTCAGTTAAAAATTTATTTTGTCTTTGGGTTTGGAATTGACAAATTAATTCCACTTTCTTCCCATTTTTGATTCATGTTAGGTCAACTCAAAACTCTCCCGTTCAGAAAAGTCAGCCTACGGATCCGGGCTCTCACTCTCATCCCAGCCCTATTGTCTAAGCCCTAAAGTGGCAACAGATGGCTGGAGAAGTCTCCTATGCTCTGACTGCTTCTCCTTGGGGGTCAGAGTTCTTAACGTGTCTCTGGAATTGGAATTTTATCTGCATTCCTTTAAGTAACAAAACAAAACGAAAAACATACCACTCCCCCACAATTGTAACTCAGGCTATATAAGACCTACACTGAGATTTAAAGAAGTTATGGTGAGATGATTAGGAGCCTGCCTATCTCAGGTGAACCAGAGTGTGTTCTTTTTTTGCAAATATGGTCCGAGGCTCCTGTAGGCCTTTCCACAATGACCAAACCCTGAGAGCAAAGTCTGGCCCCCAGCACAGCAGCTAATACGTATCAGGCACTCTCCATGCGCCCAATGCAGTGCTAACTGCTTTGCATGTCTTATCTCATTTGCCCTCATAACCCCTCTGTGGCAGCCGAGTGACAAGTACCCTGCCAGAACAGTGGATGAGGAGTCAGAGGCTCAGCAGAGTGACGGAACTTGCCCAAGGCCATACAGTTAGTGAGTGGAGGAGCTGGGATTTGGATCAAGACATGCCCACTTTCAGCTGGAACGGGAAAAGAGAGAAGAAGAATGGAAATAACCAATCCCCAGTGAAATCTTAGAAGCCAAGAGCAGAGCTATCATTATGCATGGAAGAGAGGTGTCCTTCTAACTCGAACTCCCTCTCAGGTCTTTTATGTGAGCAAAAATATAGATTTCTATTGTGTTTGCGCGATTATCAAGTTCGTGGGGGCTGGTATTTGTTGCAGCAGGTAGCATTAGCCCAGTTACTCCACACAGACACCTAACCCAGCTTTGCATGCTTCTCTGAGAAGGCCAAGTCCGGGGTGATTCTGAAGGACAAGTAGTCGTCAATTAGGCCAACATGAGGGGTAACCGTCTCAGGCCTAAGCTCTCTCTGGAAGCTGGAGAATGAACCAGGGCTAGCCCAGTGGAAGACACAGGCTTCCTTGGTGGGCCCCTCCTGTCAAGCCGGCCTTATCACTCACATCTCTCTGCTTCTAGGCTCTCAGCAAGAGGCAGAGCCAGCTTCTCATGTCGGGTGGTGAGCCAGAGGTGGGGGTGGAAGGGTCTGAACCATGGCAGGTGGGTGAGAGAACATACAAAAAGTGACGCCGCCCTTTGTGTATGTCTTGTGGTCTCACATCCATGCTGTTTCCTTGCTTCTTTTCTTCATAGTCATAATTATCACCTATTCATATATCACATTTAAAGTTGTTGAGAACTTTGGGAGAATCTACCAGGAGAGCCACTGTCTGTTGCTCTGCCTCCAGCCTGGCTAGGCATCTGTCTTCAAGCCCACACGAGCAATCTTTCTCCTGCTCCATGACTGCTCTGATTTCCAAGCAAACGCTCTCGCAACGCATATCGTAAACTGCTCTGCCTCGAGTGAACTTGATGGTGAGGATGGAATGTTCCCAGTGTCTCCTTCTGTAAGGGCTCTTGTCAGGACTGAAGTCTTTGAGTACATCTTGGAAGGAGGGTAAAGACCCCTTTCTCACGTTTTCCTGTAGTTATCTTTCCCTCCATGTAAAGCTTCACCATGAGCTCATCCTCATGCCCCTGTGGACAAAACACCCAGATCCCCTGGTTCCCTACCCACCACCCCTGCCCCTGAATAAACAACAGCTCATTTGTAAGAGGTTTTTAATTTCATCTTGGTATGCCATTAAGGAGTGGAATAAGGATCTCTATTCGTTTTTCACTCACATAGTATCTGCTACATTCTCCAACTGATTTTTACCACGGAAAGCCCACAGAGCCAGGCAGCATCTGCACGATTTTCACTCACTAGACTAGTTTGGGTTTCTTGGTGGTTTGCATAAATTATAAACAAGAGCACAAAAATCACACAACATAGACGCTACCGTAAGGGGACGTGTTCCCTCTGGCCCTGCACAGAGTGATGGGGACGAGTCGCTGTGTCCAAGGCTCTGATGACCGATGATGTCCCCAGGAGTGAGGCCAAGCCTATCCCAGGCCCTCTCACAGGAGTCCAAGCTGACCCTCCGTCTTCCCCATCAACTCATTCTGGTTTCTCAGGAAGCCTCCTTGCACAGAAGTATCCCATCCTAGCACCACAATTGGAGAACGGGGTGTGGAACTGTCCCTGTGTACAATGGCAGACGGGTCTTCTGTGCTCAGGGTCAGAAAAGCAAGCTGGAAGGAGGAGCCGTGAGTTTCCACCTGGACCCCCTCTGCCTCTTTGAGCTCCAGGAGGCTGTTTACAAACACACCCTCTAGAACAGGGGCCAGAAAACTTTTTATGGAAAGAGCCAGACAGCACAGATAGTAAATATTTTAGGTTTTCTGGGCCATATACACTGTCGCACATTCTTCTTTTCTTTTTTTACAACACTTTAAAACTGTAAAAACTATTCTTAGCTGGCAGGCTATAAAACACAGGCCTGCAGGCTGTAGTTTGCCAACCCCTGGTCTAGAACACTACAATGCTCTCCCCTCATCCCCTCAGCCATAGCCTCCTCCCCACTGAAGGACTCTGGCACCCCCCTGAGCTGCCCTGAGTTGGTATCTGCAGCCCAGCCTTTACGGAAAGGACTGAGTGGCAGAGTGGCCCTCAGGGCTCAGGTTGCAGGAGCCCTCCTGCTCTGTAACCCAGGTGTCTTCCTTTGCCAAGTGACTGGTCTGGTTGTATTTTAAACAAATATCAGATATTAGCCTCAGCACTGCTCACGTGTCCTGGGGGTGAATTAAGTCTCGGTGTCCCCCAGTGAGGTAGGTACATACTATCAGCTTTATCCCACACTTGCAGATGCTGAAGTTCAAGAGCAGAATTGACTTTCCTAGTGCTGCCCAACAACCACATGTCAGAATTTAAAAGAAAGCCAAAGAGTCTAGGCTTTACATTTTCTAAGAACATGATCAGGAATTATTCTGTCCCACCCAAGCCCAGTGATTCAACCTCAAAAAGAGCAAAAATCCAAGAGAGAACACTGTCAGCCACACAGAGTTGCTTTCCAGACCTCAATGATGCTCTCTGAAAACAGAATTCACTCAAGCACTCAAAGCTATGGGGCTAGGTGGAGCAGCCCTCTCTGCCCTGCTGACAAGTCTCTTCAAACTAAAAATAAAGTTTATAAAAGTAAATTATCTCATTTTATAACTTAAGTGCATCAAGCATTTCCTTAAATATAGTTCACACTGAAAATAAAGTTACTTTTGCTGTACAGTTGGTGTCTGTTATAATTAGGAATAAACTTTGATGATAAAGTATGAAAGGTTACACACTCACGCACACATCTATCTATCTGTCTGTCTGTCTATGAGTGTATGGATGGATAGACATATGCACCTCTTGACAAGAGCTTCCCCAAAATGGTGGGAAGTTGTTAGGAGTCTCTAGGTATCTAGTTTGCATGAGAATGTCTATATTAAAAGTCCCTGTCCTTAACGATAAACACATTTTCATACCTAATGCTAAGACTCTTATTAGAAACATTAAACTATGCAATCCATAATGTATTCAGTCTTTGGAAATGCTGAACTACACCATATCATTTTACAACAGCATCCCCAACAAAACTCCCTCCCCAACCCACCTCTTCCCTGGCCTCCCCATCCTAAAGCCAGCCGACCCCTCACATAATGTGGTTGTTCCATATGGGAGCCTAGCCACAGAACTCTGGGGGAAGACTCAAGAGGTGAAGTAAGAATTCTGCATGGAGTACAGGTGATCAATGGGGTTTCCCACTCTGGACTGCAGGGGTCCGGCTTCTGAGGTTGCTAGGAAACAGTCACCCAGGTTACTGAGGGAGGCGTCGTCACTATCCAGGTCATGGAAAAGGGGCTCGGCACCTGAAATGGAGATGAAACACTGGCATGAGAGTCTGGAAAAAGTGACTCACTTTAGTGCTAGGAAATTCAGCTAAATTCAGCAAGTGTGGTCTGAGCACATCCACCAGGTGAAGCTTTCTAGCGGGGGCTGGAGAGGGGGTGGGAGGAGGGGGGAGATCTACATAGAAAAGTAGGAAGGAGCGTAACCCCTGTCCACAAATGATCTCTAGTCTCCTTAGGGGGCTCATGTGTAAGGTGCAACAACGGAAAACAATATAAACTAGGAGATGACCAAGGGCTAAATTGAATGCAGCATAAGCAATAGCAGAACATCTAGACGGTGAGTATGGGGCATGGGCAGTCCACAGCACTGCAGACTGGAGAGAGGGGGCAGGTCTCCTAGAGGACTCAGCCACAAAAATGGTTCTTGAAGGAGGGATGGTAAGAAAACAAACATCAGCTCTGCAAAGGAGGCTCATGAAACCTCCTGTGATAACTGTCCTTTCAAACAGCAGGATTATACTGAGTGCCTACTCTTTCCTCAAATCCGTCCTGCAAAGGAAAAGAAGGTTAGGTGCCCACCCTCGAATAATTTATACCCTTGACAGAGAAGCCAGTGGGGCAAACTGTGGAACAGCTGCGAGATCACTGTGACCAGAACCTAGAGGCATGTACATTTTATCTCGACTTCAAGTAAATAGAAGAGGCGACAGGGGAGTTTATAAAACTTGTCATGTGGTTTTAATTATTCATTTTACTAAATGATTCATCATAGGGGTCCTTTATGTAACAAGACCCCTAGGACTCCGAAAATTTAAAAATTTGCAAAAAAGTCATTTGCCCTGTTTTCCCAGAGCTGTGGAGTTAAGACGGGTACAGATGTTACATGTGTCTCTAAAGAAGCAAGGAGGATGGTCATCACTGGAGCGTGCACATGTATATCTATGCATTTATGAACGAAGGAGATTGGTCAATGAAGTCTCTGCAAAGGGCCAGATCTTAATCAGTGTTTGCTGAATGCAAGACATGGGAAGATAGAGGTGATTTTAATAATAAATAGAATTTTTTTTAATTGACGGCAAAAAAGAAGTTGCTTGACAAAAATCTGTGAGCTGAGGCATATGTCTCTGATATTGATGTTTTGAAGGCTTGCTGAATAAAACTTTATTTTTAGCTATCAGGGTTATTTATTGCAGATTTCGCAGTACAGATGAATGCATTACATAGGCTACTGATCTGCTTTGTAAACAAGCATGGCGTCCAGAAACCACTCACCCCATCAGGGTGCCCAGTCCCCAGCTGCTGTCCATTAGCTTAAAGAGCAAGCTGAGCAAGTGAGGCAGCCTCGGCTAGCCACACCCCTGGCATTTGAAGCAACCCCAGTTTGGGGGGGTTGGGAGTGGGGGGTACTTTTCATTTCACAAGTCAGTTTATGTTTCAGGAATTACATTAGAGCATCTACTAGTATCCATGACAGGATAGGCCAATCAGAACATTTGTTTTCTGTGCTTTTATATATTGTCTTTATGTAAAAGTTTGCTTAATTAAGAACTTCTGTCTATATCACTGTTAATATTGCTTATAAACATGTGTGATACCTGGCATGAAATGAAAGACTTAGGAAACCCAATCACAACAAAGAGGTCTACAATGAAAGCACACACCTCCTATTTAAAATTAACAAATGAGAAGCTTGGAAAGGACAATAAATGGAAACATCGCTAATGAATATGTGCATTGGTCTTCCTTCTATAGCCATTGGTGAGGTGATTCTAGCAGTATTTTGTGGGGCGCTTATTCTGCTTTGCAGCTTCAGTGAGCATCTACTGCACAGGCGTGTTTGGAAAGCAATGAGAAATCCACACAAGCAAGATGTGAGAGGTCCTTGTGGGGCTTGAGTCCCTCTTACCATAGGGGTGCATGTGGTCTCCAGGCATCTGGGGTGGGGTGAGACCCTGTCGGAAGGGATCTGAGCTGTAGACACTCTGCTCGATGGCCAGGAGCTGCTGTGGGGTGGGCAGAGCTGTGTAGGGGTTCATGATCCCTTCCATCCCAGCATTCCCGCCACCATTTGTCTGAGCTGTGAGACAAAGAAGAAGGCGGGTCATTCTCCACACACAGGCCAGCATCCCATGCTGGGAGAGAGGGCCACAGAGCATCTTCTAAACTTCACATCCTCCATTCCATGTGTCCCTCACAGCACTGGCCTTTGCTACTGCTCATGAAGAGAAGAAAGTGAGAAGGGCAGGTGAGTAGAATGCAGGGATCCCTGGATTTGGAGTGGGGTGTGCTGGATCTGAGAGCCCACAGTTATCCCGCCATGTGGACTTCTCCACAGGGCTGCTTAAGGGTCCTCACAACATGGCAGAAAGCTTCCCTAGAGAAGGGTCCTCACAACATGGCAGCCAGCTTCCCCAGAGCTTCTCCAAGAGGGCGTAAAGCAGAAACTACCACGCTTTATGACCTAGCCTTGGAAGTCACATCGTAGGTCAGCCCTATTTAGGGTCAGAGGGGACTACACAAGGGTGTGAACACCAGGTGGCAAGAATCATGGAGGGCCATCCTGGAGGTTGGTGACCACACAAGCTGTGTGACTATGGCTAGATCATTTTACTTCCTGGGTCTTGGTTTCCCTATTTATAGACCGGAAGGGGATAAGGTGACATCAGTGATTCCCAGCAAGGCCCTAGCAAGTGCCATCAGGGATCACCTTGGCAGATAGGGATGGGGTGGGCAGTTGAACTTGGAGAGCTTTCTTGAAATATATCATTAAAACAAAGCTGTTGATGCTACACACAGGTTTAGCATCCACTGAAGGGAATGATCTAAAGATCTTTCCAGCATTATCCCACTAGGAGCCCATCAGTCAAGTGGGAATCCCGACACTGGCCCGATCGACCTCAGGGAACTGATATGAAGACTCCATGAGATCGTGTGTGCTTTAGAACTACAACTTGCTATGTGTGTGTACAGAATTTTATGATACAAGGAGGACTCAGTTCCCGCATCCACATCTTTGTGGTTCTCTGAACGTAGTTCCATTAACTCTCAGAGACTCTATTTTCTACTGGGCTCTGCTTTCTTAAGTCTACCCTAGGAGATGCCCTTAGAATTCTTCAAAGTCCCCGTCACTATGAGTTTGTGTTCATAAAGCCTTCATGCATCCTTCTCCCTTTGAGCGTGTTGGCTTATACGGAGTCAACTTGCATGGCTCTTCCTAAAGTCCTCTCATATCTGTGACCCTCTTTGAACTTCACAGGGGCCCTATGCCATAGGGCTGGCAGGCGTTATTACCCCACCCTAGGCATACACAGCCTGAGGCACAAGGAGATGAAGACCCTGGTCCCAGATCAACCGGCATTGGGAGTGGAGCTGAGGCAGAATTCAGGTCTCCTGACTTCCCTTGAGGCTCCACCCTTCCCCAGCACCCATGTCTTTGTTTCACTCCTCTCCCTGAGCACCCCACTTGCTGTTAAGATACTGTTTGGCCTAGAAGGTAAGAAGCTAAGGAAACTTTGCTGCAAGAGTCAGAGTCTAGATTGAGCCTAGCCTAGGTGTCAAGCACAAGGCAGGGTCCATGCCAGGACAAGGGGCTCTGTTTAGGGGCCTGAGAACCAATGTCACATTCCACAGTCTTCAAAGTGTGGTCCACCGACCAGCAGCAATGGGAGTTTGTTAAAAACCCAGACCTTAAGAACTGGAAAGTGTATGTTACCAAATGCCAGGTGACTTATGTTCACACTCAAGTGCGAGAATCCTTGCTCTAGGGCACCGACAGATGATTCAGGGAATTCTGCCGGATGCCTGAGTTGGGGGCATATCCCTTTAAGAATGACATTGTGCTAAGAGAGTTACTCTTGATTTTTTTCATTTAACTTCCTTGAAGTCTCCCACAACCTAACCTTCTTCACTCCCTCCCCAATCCTCACACCACCCCTACTAAAAACAACAACAACACATGAAGGAACATGCTGGGAGGGGTGAGTTGAGACAGAAATGGCCTAGTGGAACTTAGAATCAGAGAGACAGTTCCCGTCCCAGCTCCACCCTTTACTCCTCTAGGACCACAGTGAGTCTTGCAGAGCCTCTGTTTGCTCATCTGTGAGATGGGGATGATAATAACTTTTCTGCTCACCTCGGGGCAGGGGGTGCTTGGAAGAGTCAGGCCAGCATGTGTGAGTGCTCTCGTGAACTATAAAAGTGCTCCAACAAAGGAGATTTTTTACTATCATTATTTTTACTATTTTATGTTATTTTGGAAAGAAGTTAATTCACAGAGGTGTCTTCTATTAAATTGATTTGCCTGGAAGGAGAGGACCAGGCAGGAAGGGAAACTGGGCATGTCTTGGACTCTGCAGGTGGCCCTGACACAGTCCCCCGACACTGTGGCAGTGTCAGGGCAAGGAGGCTTTAGGTAAGGTTAGTGCCACCTCCAATCAGCCATTCAAGGCCCACAGCTCAGTGCCCTCAACCCTCCCACAGTTCCTCTCGGCTGGGTCCTCAGGAAGGTCCCATCTTCCTAGCGGGTGTGAACAGGGCTTCCTGGAGCCCAGAAATGTCATTCAAAGAGCTGGGTAGTTGGAGGCCTCTGGTAGGAGAGACCTGGACTCCAGCGAGGACTGCCGGGAGGAGCCGCCAGCTTACCGGAACTCAGCCTCTGGGTGTTCTGCTGATCTTGCTGCTGTTGCTGCTGCCGCCGGGCCAACTTCTTCATCTGATGAGGAGAGGACCACAGGTTAGAAGTCAGGTGACCTGCAGCAGGTTCCCGCCAAAGGGCAAAGGGCTTGTGTATAAAGCAGAGGGACCGTTTCCCTAGCTTTTACTCAGTAAAGGAGCCACGGTTGAGGAACGGCGCCTCAAGTTTGATGCATTGCAGCTTGAGGGCTTTTTACTTTGCAGCAGTGGAAACACAGCTGGTTGGGAAGCAACCATGTGGCTTGCCTTAGCAAGAACAGGGATTTCCTCTCAGCAGATAAAACTTGCTGCTTATGTTGTGACAGTTTTATGTGAGGTATAAGTGTGGGTGTGGGGTCTGCAGCCCAGTTTAGATGTGCAGCAAGAGGCTTCTGACAGGGCGTGATTTGGGACGAGCCAAGAGGCTGTTCCCTGCCCACTACCCTGTCTGCTGGCCCTTGTGAGACGCGTGCCAGGAGATTCACGCCTCTAGGTAAAGACCTTGTCTCCCAAAGTACCCTGTTAACACACATACTTCCTGGAAGGAACATTTTAACCCAATGTTTCTCAAAGTGTGTCCTGCAGAACATTAGGTTTCCATGAGACATTAATATATATTTTGAATGTGTGTGTGTGTGTGTGTCCCTTTAAGTGGAGGTAAACAGAGAGGAATAATCATTAATTTAGATGTCAATCCAAGAGAATGAGAAAACACTGGGTTCAAAACAAAAATTTCTTTACTGTGAGATTTCTCAGAGCTTCAAACTCCTCTGCTTTATGAATTCATAGCCGACAGGGTCTCTCAAACCTACTGAACCATGGAGTCCTTTCATGACAGAATACACATCAATGACCCTGTTCTGAGGAATTCAGGTAGGGAAATGCCACCTTATCAGATTATGAGATATTAATTTATCACCCACTAAAGATCAGGGCCCTAGAGAAATGGGCCACAGGACATATGCATTTTTAGGGTTAGGAAAATAAATTAGTAAAAGGTCTAAAATAAATAAAAGACCATGGCAGGGGAATACCGACCTTGGTAGGATCCAAGGGACACCATGATGGTTTGGGCCTATATGGGGGGTGGGCCACTGGGAGAGGTGAGTAAAGACATTCATTCCACCATGCCATAATGTTGTCTTAGACCAGTCATATGTGTGCTAGGTAGATTTCTCTTCGAAATTTTAAAAGAACTTTGGTATCTGGGTTAAAGGAATGTGAATTAAAGAAACTGTTTTAACCATAAGACACACGAAAACATTTATACATGCAGATGGCTGGTCAGATTCACAAGTCATGGCCACTAGGAAAATAAAAGCCATCTCACTAAAACAAATGGCCCATCTCACCCCTTCGGCAGAGCTGCTGTGGCTGAAATGACTACTGATAACAGAATTTTTAAATCAAGAGAAATACTCTATCCAATGAGTTCAGGTTGGAGAACCTGTCAGCAAGTACAACGTCCTGCTGCTATTATTTCGGAAAGCCAGCCACATGGAGACAGACGTAAGTAAGAAGAGGATTACCTTAGCTCTCTGGTTCTGGAACCACACCTGGACCACACGGACACTCAGCCCTGTCTCTGCAGCCAGGGTCTCCCTCACCTTGAAAAAAGGGAGCATTAGAAATCCAGAAACATTGGCATCTCGGAGTAGGAGGCAGAACATTTCCTATGCAGGGCACAGGGAGGCCAACAGGCCGCATCTTATATCAGAGGTGGCTAGTGTTCAATGTTGAGCATAGGCCCAAACACAAGAACATGGCTTCCCTTCACGTGGAGAGAGGGTTCTTCACCAGGTAAACAGAGAGAGGAATAATCATTAATTTAGATGTTCATTCCAAGAGGTGTTTCTGGGTTTCTCTTACTCTGGAATTAGGCCTTCAAATGGTTCTTAAACACCAGCAAAATCTATTGGTGTGCTTTAGCTATACTCCATGCATATGCATTAACCTACTTAAGGAGAATTGAGGGTGAAAATCACTTTGCAAAAACAAATGGTTCCCTCCTGCTCTCTTCTCCTGTCTAAATTCCTTGACCTCAATTTTTGGTTTTGTCTCTCATAGCTCTAGGTGACTTTTGGTGTTTCATGAATATTCATATTAACTGTTACTCTGAGTGGGCCCTGCGCAAAGAGAACAGGACAAGAGCCATCTGGAATCTGGCAGAGCAAGGCAGACAGCTCTAATGCAGGCACATGCACCAGGGCCAGGGCCAGGCAGAGACAGGACAATGGGGACCCTATAATGAAGAGATGTATTTAAACATCTGCCCTCCACAGAGTCCCAAGGTGAGGGGCTGGCAAGGTGGTGAGAAGGAAAGAGGCAAGGAGCGGAGGCTTCCCAAGAGTGGGCCTGAGAGACACTGCCCCCTCATGGTTAGATTCTGGGGGAGATGGGATCAAAGGAGCTCCTTGAATAAACACGTGGGTAGAGCAAACTGGAGGCCTCGGGAAGTAATTCATCTTTATCATGCTACTTGGGCTGAGGCTTAGGAGAAGTGGGATGATTAGACCAGATTTTTAAAATACATCCTTCTGCTAAGCCAACTAAAATAGCAGTGTGCCCCAGGGCCCCACCTCCACCTGCTGAAACCCTATCCATTCCTCAGAGGCCCAGCTCAGAAGCCACCTGTTCCACAAAGCCTTGCCTGATTCCCCAGACAGAGGTGACCTTTCCCTTCCCTCGGCTCCCGGCTGCCCTCTGTTATGGTCCTCAGAGCTTTCTCCCAGGTGTTAGCTCCATGTGCACACATCTCCTCATCACTGGTGGCCTGGAGGCTGCCCGGGGACAGGCACTGGGCACAGGCCATACAGAGGCTGGGAGTTTAGTGTATGTCAAATAAGTAAATAAATGAGGGAGGTGATAATTTGTCCTGTGTAAGCCTACTTTGGGGCTATTTCACTTGCTACCAGCACCTCCTCTGGAGCCTAGAGAGCAGCAAGGGCAGAGAAAGAAAGATTCTGCAGGTGAATGCTTTCAAAGGTCAGAAGTGCTGGTAGACTGTATTATTGTTGAGCAAAAGCCCACCCTTCCCTCCCCTGCTCCACTGGGTGCAGAGCAGGGTGGGGGTGGGGGGAGCTGGATGTTGTCTGCTTCCCCCACGCACTCACATTGGGCTTAGCAATATGACCTGCTTTGGCCCACGGAAAGTGAGTACATGTGACATGTGTGATATCCAAGGAGAGCCTTTCAGTGGGCTTGCCCAGTGTGTCTTGGCCTCTTGCCTTCTGCCATCCTCATAAGAACAGCATACCCCAGGTGGCTGCTGCTCCTTCAGCCTGGACCCTTGAATGACACACAGGTGGAGCAGGCCTGAACCTGAGCCCAGCTGGGCACAGCCAACCCACAACATAGGAGCAGGCCATCAACGTTTGTTGGGAACCACTAAGATTTTGCTTGTTATTGCAGCAAAAGCTGACTAATACAGATAAGAATGCAAGAAAAGCAATGCGAACATTTTCTAAAATTTATTTCCCTCACGAATTTCAATAAAAAGCCTTTCTTATTTTTATTGTATAAATGATAGTACCCAGCATATGGCAGGCAGTCAGTAAACAGTGGGTACTTAATAAATGGATGCAGCTATTTGTGGCAGAGATTGTTAACTGTCCCCAGTATCCATTCTCTCCTTCCTCCTATTAGTAGTTGAATCCCCAAGTTTTAGCAAGGCATGTAGTCACCCAGATAAACTCATTTCCCAGGCCCCCTTGTAAGAGATGCAACCAGGGGATTAAACTTTAGCCAACACGTATGAGTGGAGTGATGTAAACAGTCCCAGGGTAGGTCATTAAAAAAGCAGCTGCTTGCCCTCCCCTTCCTCTTTCTCCACCATGGTGGCTGGAAAAAATGGTGACAATTGGAGCAGCCCCTTGGATCCCTGTGATGGATAAGAAAGCTGCCCCGCCAGTCTTGGAATGCTCACCTCTGGACTGTCACATAAGAGAGAAATAAACTCCGATCTCATTAAGTCACTGTATTTTTTTTTTAATACGAATGCTCACAGCAGCCCTATCTGTAACTGCCCTAAACTAGAAACAACCCAAACACCCACCAACAGGTGAGTGGACTAACAAACCATGGCACATCCATACAGTGGAAAACTATTCGACAACAAAAATGGATGAACTACAACATGGATGAATGCCAAAAGCAGCGGAGACTAGACCAAAAAAGAGTATATACTACAAGCCACTATATTTTTATTCTTTTTGTTATAGCATCTCAGTTTATACCCCAACTGATACCTATTATTGTTATTCTTCGCATTGTTCACCATGAAATGAAAGGTGTGGGCAAGCAAACAATTGGAGTGGCTATGTATGCACAAAAGCATCGGGAGATTCTATTATATCCCTGGCCACAGCTTCAGTGATCCCTGGAGTCTGCAGTGGGGTTCAAGGCCACCTGCACAAGCTCTGTCTGAACAGCCCACATGCACACAGACAGCTCTGACCCCAAGGTTCCCATCAACACCCCAGAGGAGTCTGGGGTGCACACAGAGAAGTGGGGCCTGGCCCCTTTCCTCCCTTCTTCCCTTCTGTACCTTCCTGCATGGCTTGGAGGATACTTCAAACGAGGCCTTGAATGCTCTCCTTTGTTGGGTTGTCAAGATGGTTCTGGGACGTTTGGGGCGTTTATGGTCTTTGCCATCCTCAGCAGTTCCTTTCCCTGCCCCATGGGCTGACTTGCAAAGACTTTCTTCATCATCACTTTTGCCTAACGGAAGCAGAAAACAATGTGTTGAGTCCTTCAAAGCCACATCCTGGAGCTGTATGTTATTCCACAACAAGGCCCTCGGGTCCATGTTCCCAGAATGGCTTTAGATATGAGTGCAATTACCTGTGTGGTATTGATTTGAAAGCCTCCAGGAAGCGGCTAAGAAAAAGATTCTAAAACCCAGAGACAAGAACCAAAAAGTCCACCATTACAGCTCAGGACTTTCTCACAGGACGGTGTGTCCTAGCTCCGTGTTTACTAGCTGTGTGACCTTGGACCAGTTACTTAACTCTCTATGACTCAACGCCCTGATCTGCAAATTCAGCATATAAGAGAACCTGCTTCATTGAGGTTGTTGGGAGGATTTAAGGAGTTTATACCAATAAGGCACTCAGAATGCTTCCTGGCATATGATAAATGCCCAGTAAGTGTTGGTTATTAATATTGTTCCTTAGATGTCATTTTTCAAGCCTAGACCTGGAAAAGCTGTGTATAACTTCCTAGACATTATGTCTGAAATTCTAGCCACTGCCAGAAGGTAGAAAACATTACTGTTTAAAAGACCATAGAGGATCAGCATAGACAGATAACACAGACAGTTAGTCAAAATTGCCTGTCTATAAAATAAATAACTCTCTATTCCTATCTGACGGCCTAGTGGTTCAAGTTCAGCATGATCCGCTTTGGCGGCCCATGTTCGGTTCCTGGGTGCGGAACCACATCACTGTCAGTAGCCACGCTATGGTGGCGGTGCACACAGAAGAACTAGAAGGACTTACAACTAGAACATACAACTATGTACTGGGGCTTTGGGAAAGAAAAAAAAAAAAGAGAGAGAGGAAGATTGGCAACAGATGTTAGCTCAGGGCAAATCTCTCCCAGCAATAAATAAATAAATAAATAACTCTCCATTAAAGTAACTGCATTTATTTATTTATTTATGTGAATTTCTCCAACTCTCTAAGCAGTGAGCAATACAAGGGGTAACTTTTGAAGGAAATAAAGCCTCTAGTATACGTCACATTCTTTCCCAGGCTGCCTCTTGCATCCTACAGGCTTCATGCTTCTGAGAAGATGCTTCCAGGGTCTGGGAAATACCCATGTGCAAGAGACTTCTTTCCACTTTCAGCATTAAAAGCCTTAGGGAGTTGCATGCCCAGATTACCCTACCAGGAGCCTCATTTCTCTCTGGGTCCTCACAGAGCTCAGCCGTCCTCGTGCCTCCGTGGAAACCTCTGTCCCAAGGCCTTCCTCTGTCCCAATCCACTCCCCTGATTACTGACACACAGGAGGCTCTTAACAGATGTTGTGGAAAGGACATCTCTTCCCTTCTGTCTCACTCCCCTCAATAGTACAAATGAAAAAACCTAAAAGCTTAAAGAAGAAGAATCCTCTTGACATGGGGTGGCTACTCTGGCATCTTCAACTCTGATGTTGCTCTTTCCAGGAGGTAATTCAGTAAGCTGATCTCAGTCACATCTCCATAACGAAGGGGTTTCAGGATCTTTCCAGAAGGAGGTTTTCAGAACGGCAAGGAAAGAATAAGCACATAAGAAATAAAAGTCTCAGGGAAATGAGAAGACCCCACAAGAGGAGAAACGGTAGAAAATAGGAAGCCATGGACTGCACAGACTCACCCTTGCTAGGCCCTACATCCTGCTGCTCAGAGACCCCTCCCACCTCGAAAGCCCAGTCTTTAGTGAGGTCAATAATTCTCTCTGCTAGTGTACTCCTCAGGGTCAAAAGGATGCTCCTCTGGCACCAGCGATGCCTTCGTGATATTTCTGAGGAAACAGGGCTGACACCTCACCACAAGGACAATGTAGATCTCCCACAAGGCAGGTGACTAAAAGGGGCTGAGTCTAGAACAAACAAGTAAGAGGTCAAAAGTATAGAATATATTTTAAAATGAAACTGTAGTATCTTCTGAAACCTCACGTCTTACACCAGTTATGTCCATCAAAGGGTATTTGCAAATGTCTTCCAGAGTCAGTATGATTCTTTGATAGTCATTCCTCACATAGGTTGATGCAAATATATATTGATAACTAGGATAATGTAACTAACGAAAACATCAAGTCTAAAATAATGCTAGAGTCCATGATAATGGCTCATATATGATGACACCATTCAGGAAAGCAATGTGGCATGGTATCTACAAGCATGGGCTTTCGAGTCACATAAATTCAGGTTTAAATTCTGGCTCTACCCCCTATTATGTGTGATTTTGAACAAATTCTCAGGACTCGATTTTCTCATAGGGAAAAGTAACAGTGTTGTTGGAATTAAATGAGATGGCATGTGTAAAGGGTTTAGCACTGTCCAGAATGTGAAAGGTGCTCAGTAAATTATCATCATCGTCGTTATTATTATTTCAACATAAAAGAAGTATTCGTGATCCAAGACACATGTTTTCTGTTAATAATAGTCACATATTGATGGGAGTTGGAGGTAAGGTTTTACAAGGCAAGTGTTCATTTCTCCTTACAGACATGACCCTAGCCAATACTGAGAGTTAGTTTTGTGGAATGTGAGTGTGAGTACTTGTGAGAAGGAAGAGAAAGAGAGGGAGAGGGAGTGGGGCTGGTTCCAGAAGGAAGATGTAATTTCTGAAGTTTGTTCAGCACCCCAGCAGGGTGGCTGAGGGCCCCTGGTTTCCCCTACTGCTGCCACTGTACTTTTCTTCACCTGGGATACACGCACATTTCCCAAGAGCTGCTATTCCACCATGGAACAACAGAGAGGAGGGGAAAAGAACCATGTCCTAGGGTAGCATTTGGTGCCCATTTCTGGAGGATGTAGAGAGCACTATAGCTGGCTGCTCATTCATTCTCTCCACATCCCTACAAGAAGAGAGAGATGAAAACATTTGTTTTCAGAAGAAGAAGGAGAAGGAAGAGGAGGAGAAAGGGAGGAAGGAAAAGGAGGGGGAGAGGGAGGAGGATGAGATTAAGATTTGTCTCGAGTGTTTCCATTGTTTTTGTGGTGTATTTTCTCCCTCCGATTCCTCCTTTCTGCTATTCAATATCTCACTTTCTCTTCTGTCTCTTCAGGTCCCCCATTTGCCTTCCAAGAAGCACTTCATGCTCTAGACCAGGATCCTAGAGACTTTTTTGTAAAAGGCCAGAGAGTAAATATTTTACTCTTTGCAGGCCTTACGGGCTCTATTGCAACTACCCAACTTTGCCATTGTAGGGCGAAAGCAGCCACAGACAATATAAATGGGCATGGCTGTGTTTCAGTAAAACTGTATTTCAAAAACAGGCACCAGGCCAGATTTGGCCTGCATACTATAGTTTGCTGATCCCTGCTCTAGACCTCTCCTGACTTCCTGTACTCCATCAAAACAGACATATCCTGTGTCCCATTCTTTCAGGCTCTGACTCTAGGGGCAGGAAGCACTGCTGATCTGATACACCAAGGGGAGTCAGCGATTAACATGGTTTGATGTGTTCCCTCCCACAGTCAATAACATATATACATTGAACAGGAAATGCCTCCAACCGAAGAGTCACCAGTGTGGAATTTCAGGTGTCCTAGCAGATCTGAATGAGAGAGATTCTGAAGATGGAGGGATGGAGGGGCCTTTTGGCACCTCTCAAAGTACAGACAGAGGCCACGACCCAGCTGCCAAGGGGAATGCAGCCCATCACTAACCATCACCTGGCTTCTGTCTGCTGTGTTGTAAGTATTCTGGTCATAACAGTGCCCTCTGACTCTTGGGGAATTTCCAGGCTGCTCCCAGGGTGTTCACTGAGGCTCCCGCCTTCTCTCTCAGCAGGGGCAGGCCTGACTGAGCCCACCTTCTCCATGAAAATATGCAGTGCCTAAAATGTACACTTATCAATTTGTCTAAGAGAAAAGAAAGTTCTAAAATAGCTGGGAGATTTTCCCCAGAACCAGCAGGAGTACTGGAGAGCAGAAGATGAAGAAAAATCTTCAAACGGCAGAGACGTAGGAGTGGAGGGAGGGGCGGCCCCTCTCCGTTGCCAGAGGCTCCCACACCCAGATACAGGCCAAGCAATCCCTCATAATTTAAGCTGACACCCCTCAGCGGAGATGAAAGGAACACCACTCGCTGTCTCCGACAACAAATGTCAGCATCCCTGGAGGCCATTTAGACACAAACGCAGCATAAATCTGACTCCTAGCGGGGAAGTCCAGAGATTGTCTCCACGCACAGCCTACCAGAGTGAAATGAATTTGCTTGGCACAAAGTTTGAACATGTTTCTCAGGGTCTTTCTTTCCCCTTTCTTGTAAAAAAAATCTGGAATTGTTCAGGGCTATTGCTTCCCCCTTGCCTGGTCCTCCCACTTGTTTATGACATAAGCAATTGCAGATGAAAGACCCAGCCATGGTTTATGGCCCTGAGACGGGCTGCACTACCTGTGGGGCCTCGCAGATTCATTTCAGGTTGTTGGAAAAACCCCAACAGCACATAAACAGGGCAAGAGATATCTGAGCTTGGCCCAGGCGGTGAGGGTGAGGGAGGGGGGCCAGAGACTCTCATGCTCGGGAAGGGAGAGGCAGGAACAGGCCTCAAATGCTTCCCCAGTGATGAGCCTCATAAATGTCCTTCAGGCCGGGGGAGTGGAGGAAGGGTCTGGGACTTGTTGTGGGTGGAAGGGGGAGAGAAAGATGTGAGAGAGGAATTTATGAAGACAGGATATATAGGAAGCTATTTCAGTCGCTGCCCTGCACTACAGGATCGGCATTCCATCCTCCCTGAGTACAGCGGTGCTCAACTCAGGGTGCAATGCAGCATTTAAAATCCAAGAGGCAGTAAGTGAAGTTCTCTAGAAAAGCAAAACCCTGCAACTACTGTTTTGAAACTGCCTGACACATAGTTCTTCAAGGAGGTCTCAACTCAGACCTAAACCAGGCACCTGTAAAAGATTAGACTTTGAACTTGTTCATTTAGTCATTCGCTCAATAGCATTTATTGTGGGCTCATGGGTCAGGCTCTGCACAGGGGCAATTCTGGGAGATGATGAAGATT